TGAACAATTACTCCATAACGGGGCAACAGATGGTGCTACATGTATTTTGATAAATTATAGTGGAAATTCCTATAGATTGACACTCTGTACATACAGCGATACATGTTAAAAAGTGTTAGTGCTAGCCTTTTTAAAAGTTGGGTCCCAGGTAGGCAATAATAAATCAAGGCTCAGAAGACATATCATTGATATAAAAAGGTCTCCATGCAATTTGTTTTGCTTCAATTTTGTATAGGGACAGTGTCAATAGACCACTTAAAACCACTTCATGGCTCACTATAACAACATGTATGGCTGGCATAGATCCACGGTTACCGCTGGTCATGATTGCTTATGGGTGATGAAAATGCAATGATTTCTTCATATTATACAGAATTGAACATTATGTTATTGCTGTTTTCTTTAATGCCGCTGCAGGTACGGTATGACGATGACATTAAAACAAAATAAGTGGAGGTGGAAATGGATCTAAAAGGCTATATCCCAACTCTACTGAACATGCAGTTGTTACCTGCATATATTCATAATTTACAGATCCTGACAATGCATTCATCAACAGATTATCAGTTTTGTTGAATGCCTGGCCATGGAACAAAACTGACAGTGCAGTAGAACATAATCATATAAGTCATCATATTAACCCCCTCGACCGTCTTCATGATGGAGTGGGGGTACATATTACATGGTAAACTCCCCCTCCCCATTTTGAAGTGGAAAATTACATAGCACTTGTATTACTATACAATGTATTGAATTTTTGGTATACATAAAAATGTACAGTTGTAGGAACCAGGTCTGTACAATATATGTACTGATAATTTTAAGCCAGTGTACTGGTTAATAATAAAAATATAGGTACGCTCAGCTGTGCTTGTATGTGGGAGAAACAACTTGTTGTATACAAATTAGTCTGAACCATGCGTACCATATGTCAGTCTGTCAATGTTCATCAATGATGTGACTGTAATCAGACAACCATATGCATGTGCTCTATAAACCTATGTGCATCTAGGCAAATGGCCAGTGTTGACCACTGCTTGGCCAGAACTAGGTTTCACATACAGGCATTAGCATGGTTTATAACCTAGGCATCATTTGGTGATGTTCAAGAAGCAAGCATTTCAAGCAAGTAATTGTTTTCTCTTTCACAGGGTAGAGTAGCCTACAATGTGGAGTTATTTCGGGGGTGAGAATTTGAGTGGCTTTAAGTCGATGACTCCCTCATGGAAGAACGCCAGTCTTTCCTATGATTGCCTGTCTGGAAGCTGCTACTCACTTTTACAGCTGGGTAGAATCAGGGTAAACCATATCATGCTCAAGGACACAACAACACTATTGAACTGTTTTCAGTTTGACCTACAATCTATGACCAACAAACTTTCTACTGTGCCCTGCTGCCTGTAACGATCCTTTAAAGTATATAGTTGTCAATGTACTCAGTACGTTTTTCAACTAATTGGTTGGTTTTCAAATGTAGCTTGTTGAATAATAAGAGATTATCATATTATAAGCAGTTCATTCTCCATAAAATAGATGATTCATTTGCTGACTGTTTTTGCCAGCAACTGGTAGACTGTACATGTGCATTTCCATGTTAGGATGAACAGAGAACATGTCACAATTAATATATTAATACTGGATTAAAAAATCAATTTGATGAATGATTGATTCATGAAAGCTACATGTTTTCATGTATCCTCACCAACCATGTTTTCAATTTCTAGACAATGGGAGAAAATTTGACAATTTCATTACAAGCACTGGTGAAATGTTATGGAGGTACTTCAAGGCATGCATTGTGTGCATGCATGTTCTTGTTTTGAAATATGGATTGTACAGTGACAATATCTTGGGAGGCCATGGAGAAGGCATCAGCATCACCACAAACTGTCATTTGCTATATAATATCATTTTGTGTAAGATCGGAAAAGCTTAAATGTAAGTGTTAGGAGTCTAGAATTGTACACAATCAAAAATTCAATTAAAATATGTCAATCAAAAATATTTCTGGTAGAAATATATACCCTTACATCAATCAGGAGTACATGATCATCCTCATTGACATCAGGCTATTTATAAGTGATTGGTGTTGTGCATATAGTTTGCAGGCTGATTCCCCAAGTACTACTATATGCCAAAATAGTTGCCAGAGTTGCCTGACACAGTAGTACATGTGCATGACTCGATGCAGAGAAAATATAGCTATAATGTATTCAACTCTGGCACCAGATTTGGCAGAGTAGCTGTAAAATACAACACTATTACTATTAAATTATCGTTCTGACTGTTTTTTAATAATTCAATAATCATATCACCACCTTCAATTCAAATGACTGTTGCTAGGCCTAATTTAGATATATGGTTAGAAATGTGAAAGCCAGACAGTATAGTGTTAGTGTTATACTATTGGGGATGGAACTTTTAAAGAAATAATAAAAGTTATATTTTTGCTGAACTTAACAACTAAATATTTTTAATAAAATTAAAGGCAAGACTTTTTGCAAGTTCTCTAAATGGGGCCAGGTATGGCAATTATTTTAGCCTGGTTTTACAGCTAGATGCAAGCTGCTTCCCCTAGCAAAAAAAAGTTATTTCACCCTCAAAATAAAAACCAAAAGATGCGGAATCTTCCTAAATTTGAAAAAAATGTTATTTAAAACTCTAACCTTCCACAAATATATTCCCTCAACAAATAATAAAGCTATTCGAACCCATTGGAAAAACTTTTACTACTTGTGAAAATTTTCATCAGTCCCAACATTAAGTTCACTAGCCCTGGCCTGGTGTCAGCCTAGTGGAACTTTTCACCCCTGTATACACATATTATATGACATACAGTTTCTATCTAATGCAGATGACATCAGGGCCGACACATTTCTTTTTTTGGGGGGGGGGGGGGGGGGAATTTCTCGATGTTTGGAATAAAGATTAGAGTAAACTTTTTAATTTTGCATCAACAGGACAGTAGATACATGTACAGCAAACTAATAGTTACATTATTTTCAGATACCGGTAGATTGGAAGATAAGATAGGTTCAAATAACAAACCATTTATCAACTAGCTTAATAGCTATGATGCATGGTGCCCTCAGGAAACCAATTTAGCCTATAAGGGTACATAAACCTGCCCTCATAAGCTTAAAGCCTGTAATAATATGTAATTTCATATTTTGAGAAAAATGACGAAAAGGCAAAATATAAGAGAAGTTCATGTCAAAGTTCTGAAATAAAACCAAACTAAATTACATACATTTGTATAGATAGAGTTTGAGGGAACAGCTTATTAAATAACGGAATCAACTTTTAAAACATTTCCACATTTTTCATCATGATTAATATGTTTGAAAATGAACTTAAGAACTGTGTCTATTTACAAAAAATAATTACAAAAAATAATAACATACGAACATACAGCATGCATGCACATGGACTTACAAGTTTTGTTTTAAGACTCAACTAAACAAATTTAAGTACAATATTTATTAATTATAAGTATATATATAGAGAGAGAGAAAGGTTTAAACATTTTACCTGAATATAATATATGTCCAGTATTTTTTTTAAAACCTTGGAAAGAAATTATATCCCAATCTGCCCTATTTGTTTATAAATATGAATGCAAAAATTTGCAATTGCAAATAATATTAGTATTTTATTGTCTGTTTTTTTCAATTGTCAGATATAAAAGAAACGTAGCAGCAGTTTCTGAAATGACAACTTTGAATTCAGGATATTAGTATTTGCTGCACACATACGTCTATTTTTATAATTATAGCTTCATATTTTTTTGTATTTTTCTGTATGCATACAAATGATACTGATAGCATACAAGATCACTGTATATATAACTTATGTCATAAGGGTTTTATTAAAATGGCATATAAGTCATTATGTTAACATGTGACCTAAATCATGTTAGAATATATAGCAAAAGTATTAATTATAACATGGTATCATGAAATCTCTATTATAACAGCAAATCAGATTTTATTACAAATGCACACCCGATATAATATATAACAAAAATATTTATTAAAATTTTGCAATGATCAGCACACTATCAATGATGTGATTTAAGTCACAAAAGTGTCGGAAATAAATGGCGAAAACTAACAAAAATTTAGATTAGGTTTGATAGCTCACGAGATTAAATAAAATTTAAGTGATTTATAAATCTGTATATGAACACTGTACGGAATGTAAATAGGATCAGTCACTGTTTAAACACTGGTATCTGCCATATTTCAACACCAGGATAAGAAACTTCTTCACACACTCTCCTTATAGACAGTTTCATAGATAAATAAATAAATTGGATCATTAGTATAAATCTGACATTTAACTCAATCACACATGTTAATGGCTAATGTATTCTCATTTGCATAATCTAATTGGAAAATAATTACAATATGATAATGTACAGGGACACATACAAAACCTTAATTATATACATTTTTGTATCACTAAATAATATTTCAGACACATTAATAGAATTTTCATCAACTGATTTTGCATAACCCCTTGGTTTTTGAAGACAGTACAAGACCCTATGCATTTATATATATATATATATTTATATATACGATGAAACATTAAGCAGTCAGTATACCATCTTATGCATGTGCAGGATTTGTGGCATGTATAGTAAACACACATACATATCGCGCTAGCTTACATGAACATGTGACACAAGAACCACCTACATCACAAAAGCTCTATTCTACTAATTTGTCAATAGATGTTGGGCAATTGTATTAGTGTACTGTGTATACTTAAAACTAGTCAAGCATGGAAATGTAAACTTCTTCGAACAATACACATTTGGCCAGCTATAGGGCCCTTTGTTATCAGCGTACAATACACATGGATTCAGGAGTACTCATTAGAACGATGCCCTTTGTTCGACCATTCAACTTGATAAGTTAAGAGAATATGTATGTTTGCTGATAACAGAAATAAATGAACTGTAGTGATCTTTTGAAGAGTTGTCTTGTACCTACCTGTGATTTTGGTATCAGAGCTGGTAATGACGTACGCCTTGCCGATCTATGAGCAGAAAACGCATGTGCACTTGAAGAACTTGATCGTCGCCTCTTAATGACCGATATTTTCCCATCATGGGTCACGAAATTATTTATTGGAGGTTTTAATATTGTTTCCATATATTTCGATATAATGATTCCAAGGAGGCCACAAATGTAAGCCAAATATGGTCTGAGAGTTTGAGGCAATTCGCCTAAAGCTGAACATGCCAAAAACCTGGTGAAACTTACTAGTGTTATGACCACAACACTGTGTATAGTTTCCAGAGACGAAAACACACTAGCTGTGCACACAGAAAACAGCACAATAAAAACTACGAGGGGCTGTGTGGCTGGACTGGAGGAAGGTGTTTCTCCACCCCCTCCACTGTCCTGAGGGGGAGAACTTCCTGTGCCCCCAAACCAGCTGCTGATGAGAATTTGAGCAATGGTCTCTCCAACGAAACAAGATGAAAAAAGAAAATAGATACTTGTCGTGTTCCAACTTTGTCTCAAATAAAGTGACAGCCAGTAAAAACAACACATTATAGTAAACATTGGCACGAGCACCCCACATAGTCGTTGAAAATACGAACCAAGATCACATTTCACTAGTTGGTAAAATAACACACTGCCAAGAAGAACGACTATTCCATATGCTGCTCCGACTTGCTGGGTCGAGTAATTGTGTATACCGAACCAATTTAGCACAAGATTAAAATGTCCTTGTTCCAGCGGCTTCACAAGTATCTGTATGTACCCATTATTGTCTGGTTCATCGTCGTCTTTCTGTGAATCGTTCTTAGAACCCCTTCTGCTGGACATAGACGAACGATGAAGAGCCATTTTCGTCTCTCGGTCTACCACATTACAGGAATTATGGGTAATAATTCAAGACAGGCCCCCTAGCGGCAAAGGTCATCAAAACACGGAAGTAGTAGTATCGAGGTACTTTCACTATCACATACTTGTACTATATGTAAACATTAGTAGGTGACTATTTTTTTTCATGAGTCGATTTCAGATCGAAACACGGATCACGGCTCCGTTGTCTTCTCGACAATGAATATCAGTGGCTTTGCCGACAAGTGCGCATCGGAAAAGACGCGTATCACAAGAGAGGGAATCTGGAAAATCAATATAGAGTATACAGCTTGAAGTCGGTTACTTACATTGTGAAAACGTGTGTTTGAACATATGTGAACATCATACACGTTACTTGTTAACGCGTTTTGTAGCCTTTTCTCTTCCAAGTTACCAGTTATGCTACGTTGCATAGCAATATGTCAGTAATTACACAAACAAATTCTTCTTCTCATGTTTGTGCCTAGCCAACTGGGACTTTTTTTGCCAATTTCTGCATGTAAAAATAATTAGGACAAGTTCTTTTCCTCATACCAAATCTTATTGTTCAGCTTATTACAAGAATTTTCTTTCAGGAAATTACACGAACTGTTTTGGATGTAAAATTTCATATTACAGTTTTAGAAGATCTTACAATTAAGAATTGTAATTGCTCGTCATTTCACTTAAATAAATTATCTATTAAAATATCTATAGAAGGCTTGTCATGACTTAATTATATTTGAAAAGAAAAAAAAACTTGTTGTATTCTCCGGTTTCTGAGAAGGAGAAAACGCAGTGAATGGCTAAATCATATTTGATTTATGGCCAACATCCACTTGAAAACGTCCACAATTGTTGGATTAGAACATGCAGATAAAAGAAGGAGCATTTGCAGGTATTAAGTAAATGATGAAAGAAAATAAGATTTATTCAATGATGTAAAATAAAACGTCACAATTTATTTTTATATAGACAATGTAAAAATGATTTCATTCGATTAGTCGGTTTATATAAGAATTTAAAACAGAAAATGAGCACAGTATAGAACTGCAACCTATCGAATTTTAGTAACAGGAAATGTTACAGTATCCGATTCCGTATCAGCAACGTCCTATTCCGAAAATGAATATTCATGAAGATTGAGTGTATACATTAGTAAAGGTCCCGTTTTACGTCACTGGTGGCCAGGGTTTTTGTTCGTTTCCGACGAAAGAAATAATAACCTTGATGATAATTAAAGAATATTACTACTTGTCCATCGATTTAAAACGTCAAGGTTCCGGTTAACGATATATGTTGCCTGACTCATCAAACTTGTAATTTGTGTCGGAGTAATCTCCTTTCAAACTGAACTTAAATATTTGTAGAATATTAGAAAAGAAACATTCATAATTTCCATCTAGAAACACGAATTCATATCGACATATTTTCTGCCGGAATTGTACATATTGTTCAATAGATACACAATAAGTCTTAACCTCTTTCCTAAAATTAAAGGACTTGAAACTCAAAAGTGTTTTAGCTGGTTTCAGTCAACCATAAACAAAGCGCAGCCGCATTTCATTGGAGTTTGATGAAAGTGACGTGTACGTTTCCAAGGAAACCAATTTCCGTAACAACTTATCGACGTCAGGTACATTTGCGCTGAAACTGTTAAAGTTCCATTTCAAAAGCAAAAGGATTCATTCAAAATAAATGCTGAGGAAAATCACCGTACCAAACAAATTGAGTTGAATAACTGTGTGCCATTCGTCTAGGGTTCTGAGATGTATTAAACTCGGGCTCAGCATTTGCACAAACCTAATCGCGTATCATTCTTGTGGTATGCGCTAACAATGATCAAAGGAATAGTGGCAATGATAACGCTTGTCTGAGTGAACTTTCAAGCAAATTTCAAATTTCAAAATGAAAGTGCAATTACTCGAAAATAATTCTCCAAACATATTTGACATTAATATATTTATAAATAAAAGTTGACATATTGGACATTGTCAGTTACTTTTTCGGGAGTGAGAGGGGTATAGACTTTGAAAATGTTATGAAAAAATACACTTCTGGATATTGCCCTGTCTTATGTTGAATGCAAACAAAGGAAAGCCATGAAATTGAAATTCATTTTTTTTTGGAAAAAAAATGCCGCTGGGTCATTGAGAGGAACAAGGTGAGTTTACACTTACTTAGATTAGTACGTTAATGGATGCATTTAATAATTGTGATAATTTATTGAGCGAGAGACATCTACTTAACTCATTCTCCACCTATGACCGTTCATAAAGATGGGACGTTAGGCAATTAATTTAAAGTCAGGACACTCCGGATAATGGATGCCCAAAAGGGATGTTTGACCCATAGTGTACGAATTGAATTCTCGTAAAATTTGTCGGTGTGTAGTACATGTACTTAAATAACCTAACATAGTGACACAAGTGAAACCTTGGTCGTGCACATAGTTACAACATACAAGACACATAGTTACAACATACAAGACAAATAGTTACAACATACAAGACACATAGTTACAACATACAAGACACATAGTTACAACATACAAGACACATAGTTACAACATACAAGACACATAGTTACAACATACAAGACACATAGTTACAACATACAAGACACATAGTTACAACATACAAGACACATAGTTACAACATACAAGACACATAGTTACAACATACAAGACACATAGTTACAACATACAAGACCCATAGTTACAACATACTAGACCCATAGTTACAACATACTAAACACATAGTTACAACATACTAGACACATAGTTACAACATACTAAACACATAGTTACAACATACTAGACACATAGTTACAACATACTAGACTCATAGTTACAACATACAAGACACATAGTTAGAACATACAAGACAAATAGTTACAACATTCAAGACTCATAGTTACAACATACAAGACACATAGTTAGAACATACAAGACAAATAGTTACAACATACAAGATACATAGTTACAACATACAAGACACATAGTTACAACATACAAGACCCATAGTTACAACATACTAGACACATAGTCACAACATACTAAACACATAGTTACAACATACTAGACACATAGTTACAACAGTCTAGATACTTAGTTACAACAGTCTAGATACTTAGTTACAACAGTCTAGATACTTAGTTACAACTTAATAGATACATAGTTACAACAGTCTAGATACTTAGTTACAACTTACTAGATACATAGTTACAACAGTCTAGATAATTAGTTACAACAGTCTAGATACTTAGTTACAACAGTCTAGATACTTAGTTACAACTTAATAGATACATAGTTACAACAGTCTAGATCATTAGTTACAACAGTCTAGATACTTAGTTGCAACATACAAGACACATAGTTACAACAGTCTAGATACTTAGTTACAACATACAAGACACATAGTTACCACATACTAGACACATAGTTACAACATACTCGACACATAGTTACAACATACGAGACACATAGTTACAACATACTAGATATTTAGTTACAACATACAAGACACATAGTTACAACATACAAGACCCATAGTTACAACATACTAGACACATAGTTAAAACATACTAGATATTTAGTTACAACATACAAGACACATAGTTACAACAGTCTAGATATTTAGTTACAACATACTAGATATTTAGTTACAACATACAAGACACATAATTACAACATACTAGACACATAGTTACAACATACTAGACACATAGTTACAACATACTAGATATTTAGTTACAACATACAAGACACATAGTTACAACATACTAGACACATAGTTACAACATACTAGACACATAGTTACAACATACTAGACACATAGTTACAACATACTAGATACTTAGTTACAACATATTAGACACATAGTTACAACCGTACGCAGTAGGCATGCCTAAGCGTACAATACACACTAGACAGACATAAGGTTACGGTACTAGACAGACATACGGGTAGGTACAACCTATACAGACATAAGGGTACGGTACACACTATACAGACATAAGGGCACGGTACACACTAGACATACCTAAGGGTACGGTACACAGTAGACAGATAAAAAGGTGCGGAACACACTATACATATGAAAGCCAAAGCTTTTCAGCGACGAAGATGCAGACAAACGTACACAGCACATGCAAAAGTGACCAACGGGCCCAAACATAAGCCTTGTGCAAAAGCATAAAAAACGGACGAAGATTAAACAGATAAACACAAACAAGGCAAACATTTGAATCCGCCAATCGCTTTATCGCACACTTTCATACTGGGCACTGCTTTGGAATATGTGCGTATCCTTATGTTCTGTTGTGACATTTTCTACAGTTTGTGAACTGTCATTGTCTACGACTAGACTGCACCACACGCCTACACAACCTAGCCGTATTACAAGTGGTTATATAGATTGGTGTAGGTGATGACAATATAATTCAACTGGACAGTTTTATTAATCATCTCTACTGCCCCACTAAGACATCATTAAACTTTTCACTCCCTGCTTTCCGCACGTGAGCCATTACCGGCAGATCTTCACTGTACCCCTCCAGGCCTATCTTACACGTACATAATCGTTGTGGCCTGGCTACGTACGTCCCCAGCTGGAATCTCGTGTCTGGTTAAAACAACAGATTCGTTTTCAGAATATCCTCAAAATGTAATCATGAATAAGAAAGAGAAGAGAAAAAAGTATAGCAAATCGAGGAGGCGATTGCGAGAGACAGAGGAAGAAATAGATACAGAGACAGAGGAAGAGACAGATAAAATGGATTTTAAGAGACAGATACAGATACAGAGGAAGAGACAGATACAGAGACAGAGGAAGAGACATATACAGAGACAGAGGAAGAGACAGAGGAAGAGACAGAGGAAGAGACAGAGGAAGAGACAGAGGAAGAGACAGAGGAAGA